TTCCTAAATGTCTCCTTTTATTTACACTCTGCTTTATTTAATTACTGACAGTACTTACATTTTCATTGCAACGAGTCCTCTGTGTTTGCATTTTGAACTCCATTCATCAATTATTTTTGTGATTTCCCCTCAGTCTTCTTGCACATCTGCTTCCTTGCGGCTCTGCTCCCAACTTTTTTATTGTTTTGCAATAACGACAACCCTCTGGAATTTAAATTTGGACATTTATCTGGTGGTGTCAGTGGTGGTGCTGCTGGTGGGGGAGCACTTTGTAATCTGAGTAAGTGTGAGAAACCGAGAAAGAAGCCTTCTCATCTCTGTTTCCTGCTGTGCCTTGACAAGTCCCAAAGATATGGTATGTGCTTTATGCCAGGAGGGTATAATTTTATTAGAGAGCAGAGACAATAGAGATGTTATGAGGCAGAATGATTCATGCTTCTTTTCTGAAGTGTTCATGGGCCACATTAGAAGCACATTACGCTGCGGATCATCAAAGTGCGTTTCTTTTTCTTGCATGCATTTCTCTAAATCTCTAATCAATACCAAAATTAGAATATTTAAAAAAATTTATTTAGTCCTTTGTTTGTATACAACAAATACAAGTTTTTAAAATAGTTCTGGGTTGCAATCGAAGCAAAATGAAGCAACAGAAAGACAAATATGTGGTAATCTGAGTTTTAACCCATTTAAAGATTACTGATATTAACATACATCAAAAGGCTGCATGGAGTAAGAATGATTTTATAAACACTATTTTAAACAACAGTCAATGTTTTCAAACATTTTGGTTAATCTTAAATAAGTTATTGTGAAACTCCCTCGTAGCATGCATAACCAGGATCTATGGTTATGGCTCTAACTATCAGGTCCACCAAGCTTTATAATGGAGGTGTTTATAGAATCAACTTTATGTGAAATTAAAACAACAAATACTCACCTACAAACTGTCAGAAGACAAGAGGCAATAATCTCATGTTATTCCTAATAAATTAGCTTTTAATTTACATTAAAATAACATATTTACCCTTAAAATAAGCTGAGTAAAAGTGAAACCACCTAAGAGATTTTCCACAAAACAAGTTCCAGGGTCGATTGCTCCTTGAGCCCACCTCTGGCTCGATCAGGATTTTGTGCAGCAGATGTGAAACCATAAACAGCAGATCGGCAATTTTTGAGTGGAGGCTTCATTGACCTAATGCTTAAAGAAGAAAAATTATTTGGTTTGGACCTGATCACCTACAGGACATCACCTCTATAAACATCTAACAAAAGACAGTAAATATTTAAATGTAGATCTCAGAAAAAAACAACAAAATAATCCTACCCTGTGACTGGATTACAAAATTGTGTAACTTGTGGACCACACATTGCAATCCGTCATTTATTTATGAGTAGCGCTGCTGGCAAAGCCTCAGTAAACTCATTAATCTTTTAATAAGTTGTTGCTTAGAACAGCAGTGGACCCCTGCTGTTCTCTCCCTCTGCAGTTTGTTTCAATAGCAACAAGCGTGTGTTTAAAAATAAACTTATCTCTCTGTATAAAAATCATCTTAAGATCAATTGTTAGAGAAGTATTACCAGTGTTTTTATTTTTTTTTTTATTTGAGAGTCAAAATTCCTACAGCGTGAATGTGGCTTTCATTTAGTCCTTTTGGGACCAGTCCAGTGATCATAGGTCAAAAACGGTTATAGTGGAAACACCTCTGAGTTAATGCACACTCACTGTGAACACTAATATCCCAGTTACTCCACATGACGACCACTTTTGTTTGAAGTGTTAGGCAGCTCACTGAAGGCAGATGACTCCATAATGCCTCAAGGTTTCTTTGGACCCTATATCTTTCTTATGTTGCTAAAGGAACAGTTTATTAAGACATGACAAGTAAAGAAATTATGTTTAGTTAAAATTTCCAGTAAAATGGCTAAATTCATTACAGGTCACTGAAAGTAAGCAGTGGCATTTCTTTCAGTTGTAAGTTAACCGAAAAGAAGTGATTTGCTTGTTGCTCACTTTTCCAGACCTTTGATCTGATCTAGAAATCAGATGTGATCTTTTGGGTGACCTATGATGCAGTTAGGGTGAAATTTGATAAAACGCCACACAGGCATGATTGACACAGAAGCATTACAACAAAAAAGAAAGCTTTTATTTGCAATCCTCTGGTAGGAAAACCGAATAACCTTTTTGCCCAGTCAGATTGAAGTCATGGAACTTTTAACCCATTTTATCAAGATCCTTCTGTGAAGACCTACTCTGTTGGCTCCTTTTATTAAAGTAATGCCAACCAGTTTTTAAACTTTAAGCTAGAGCTTTAACATTGAGCTCAGTGATTGTTTGGCCAGAAACTTGACCAGTTCATATCTGACACCACTCTGCAGCCTTCTACTGGCCAGAAACTGCACTTAACAGTTTTGTGGAGCGAGTAGGTGTCCTAGGGAGCGCTCTTACCTGCATTATAGCTGTTAGCTGTTTTCTGTGAAGTTAGCTTTTTCAGTTTTCTAATCGTCAATAAAAAGCACAAGAAGAAAAGAAAAAGTTTGCTTTTCTGTTGGCATCATGGCAGAACCTGGATGTAAAAACAAGATAGTAATGCCTTTGGAGGTGCAAAGAGTCAAAACCAGAGTAAATATCGACGTGGCCTACACTAGTTTGAGGAAGCTAAAGGAGGCTATGAAATCATGGGCTGATGGTGACCTGGCTTTGTCGCTACGCACTTGTAAGTAATTATTACGTCCCTCAGCTCATTTAGGAGTGATATGGTGGAGGGAGTAATAAAAATAGAGTGCGTGGTTAATAATAACAAAGTAAAGTGTCGCTGAACAAAGGATTTTATAACAAAATAATGGACTAAAAGATATTTACAGTAAAACGAAAGATTAAATATATACAGACGAAAACAAAAGAAGCTATATAGAGCTCCGGGAGTTGACGTCACTTCTCCCGGCATACAACAGTTCAAATCGAAACGGCGCCATATTGGCAGGTAGAAGCCGGCAGCTGGACTATTTGTTATTGTCAGAAAACTCAATCAGACAGGAAATGTGGTAGATTCCTGTTGTGCCCCAGGATGCAGAACAGACACGGACGACATAAGGAATGAGCCATCAACAGGATTCCCCAAGATCCGGAGCGCCGCAAACGTTGGATCATTGTAATAAAACGCGCTAGTGACCGGGCTAAAATCAAGCTGTGGGATCCAGAGAGTAAAGGTTTTCGCTTATGCAGCGACCGCTTCATATCAGGTACTTAAACCAACGTTTCTTCAACTGTGTATGGTATTTATTTTAAATGCTTTTATTACAATTCTTAGTGGGCTTCCTAAACTTATTTTGGCGTGGCTTTTTCTGTCTTATTACTCATAGCAACAAGTAAACAACACGTAAAACGTTGCCTCGTGATTTCTGCGTGCTGCCGTTTACGTGTTTTATGATCGCAGCAGTTAACCGGCTAAGCTGTATTTAATTTTTAAGCAGTGGTTGATCAATTGTCAGACCACACATAAAAATCACTTTGGATTGCTATTATCTGTCTCACCGAGACAGATCTCAGACAGATCCTGAGATGCTCCTGCCTGACATATTTATTTTATTCACGGAAAAAAATCAAACTAGTGATTTCTCTTGGCGTTCAGTTTATACATTCAAACAGCACAGCACTCTATTTAAACTACTTACGTGTAAATCTGTTTTTTGTCCATCCATCCATTTTCATCCGCGTATCTGGAGTCGGGTTGCGGGGGCAGTAGCGTCGAGAGGCCCAGACTTCCCTCTCCCCAGCCACCTGAGCCAGCTCCTCCGGGTAAATCCCAAGGGGTTCCCCGGCCAGGTCCGGTAAGAAGTCCGCTCCGACAGCTTCTGGTGTTTTTAAAAAGTATCCCAGGGGCACGGTAAGGGTCGGAGATGTTTAGTCTATTTAACTTCTGACTATATAAAACGATTTCTTCGGTTTTAAAGTGTGAAGTAAACTCAGACGAAGTAAAATCCAAGCCGATCCCGTTCACGTTCATGTTTACGATCCGTGTTTGTTTCGCTTCTTTTACCTGCCAATATGGCGTCTACTAACTGAGAGTCACGTGGGGTCCGGAGCTCTATACAAATGAAACCGGTTTAACAGAAAGCGCCAGCCCATAAGGGGCTGGGAATATTAATCGAAATACTCTAATATCCTTAACAAAAACGGGAGCAGGCCTGATAAGCAGGGTCGCTCAGAGCAATACCAAGTCCAACGTCCAAAATACAATCCAAGGTCGAGTTTACCACAAAGCTAACAATCATCGAGCGCAGGAGGAGAAGAGAGCCGAGCGAACACTTCCGTGCCCACTCTTGCCTGGACTTTCTCCCCGTTTCGGGCAGGGTGACAGGCTTTTATCAGCTGGTGAGTGATTGGGAATCACCCACAACTGGTCATCTGGTGGAAGGGACTGGTGAGGCAGGAGCCACTGAGGCCATCTAGTGGCCCAAAAGGGGAGCGTACGTAACAGTAATAATATTGTGTAACGTCACCAAATGGCCTGATTTTCAGATTCCACGTGTCATATGCACAGCCAGAGCAAATAGCCCTGGCCACGGCACGTTCTGCTGTATTTTCCCTTGGCAGGAGTCTTGTGTCTGTCTTGTGTCAGATGACTTCATCAGCTGCACGCAGCTTCACAGATAGAAGATGAACAGTAGCATTCTTTTCCCCAAGGTTCTTCACAAGAGAACTTTGTTAGATAAACTTTTATTCTCCAGAAGACAAGAAGATTTCATAATCACAAAGTAATCATTGAATCAACTTTTGGTTATGTAAAATTATAAGCCATGAAATGTTCATGAATCTGTTTAAGCTGTTTAAGTATGTTTACTGGATTAGAGTCACCACACACCAGACAGAGTAAGGTTAAGATAAGAAATGCATGACACATGGTTAACCTTGTTCCACATTTAGGGTCAGACTCAGAGACTGGGTTCTGAGATGCTTGGCAAACATTCACGAAGAGATAACGCCAGTCCATGTAAGCAGCCAGCTCTGCTTTCTCGTCAGTGGGAGAGCAAGCGGAGACTGGCCTTCTCTTAGCTCTCTCTAACTCAAAGGATTTTTACACGTCGTCAGAACCTTAAAAGCTTTCCGAAGCTGAGAACAAGATATTTTTTCCTGCAGAACCAAGCTGACTCAAAACTCCAGAGTTATTTTAAGACGCTGGTTTTCATCTATCGTTGTGACCCGGAGGCATCTGAGGACTGATTTGGTCGCACCGAGGTTTCTCTGCGAACCAGGTGCAGTGGGGTCGTCGGCTCCTGGACATCTCAGATCCAATTGGGGTCTCCAGTTGGGTGAGGTAGACACAGCAAGATAGCGTCTGAATGTGGTTCTGATAAATAACTTTGTAGTTTACTTGCAAACCAAATTTTCTCCATCCAGGATTCAGCTTCCTCATGATCCTGACTCTAAAACTATATTCACACACAGTCTGCAGGCACCCATCTTTTAGTTCCATCCACTCACAGAATAATAAGTTTAAACAATCCGTCAAGTCTTAATTGTTTGTAAATAAATTCTTATTTTTGCTTGCAAACACTGACTGAATCATAAACAAAGTGTTTACAGTCCCTGAATGAACAAAGAATCTTAGAATCTTCTGCTTAATCATCTTCAAGACCAAGCAAGGTGAGATTCTATATTTATATAGAGTATTGCAGCTGTTGGTCACAAGTAATGATAATAAAAATAAATTGCTCTTAAAGCAATTTATTAATCCAAATTACCCTCTACTAAATGCATTACCATTGTTTGTCCAACAGTGTGGATCTTTTTGACTTTTGGCTTATTCAGTAAGACTTGGCTCATCTTAGCATTAGCTCATTGGTAGCGCTAGCTACGGTAGTTGTAATTCCACTTTCAACCAGTAGGGCGAAGGAGCAGAAAACTGCTCTGTGTTACTTTAAATACAATACTCAGATGTGTTTTTCACCTAAGAGCTGTGGAAACTCAATGAAGTGTTGAGTAGATTCAGAAAAACGTCAAGTAAAAATTCTACCAATTAGGTTCCAGTTTGTCCTACTAAGATTTTTCAACGTTTTAAAAGTCAGACCTTGCAGTCTGTAACCGGAGTCCTATATAGAAACATAAAACAACAGAACATTTTTTTCTTCTTCTCTTCTCATAACAATGTAATACTACACACATCAAAGAGCCAGAATAACATGCAGCTGTTGACACATTGCTATGAGCTACACAAGGAGACGAGGTGGGAGTGACCATATGGCGATGAGCGTGTTGATATTGAGCGTGGCACCTTCTGTGATCTGAGATGGATTCTCACAATAAACACTGGATGGTGACTCTGCAAGAAGTCTTCTATCCTATCCTAGCAGCTGTGGGTATCCCATGTAAGTATATATAAAAGAGCTGGAGTTGTACACATTTTATTTTTTCATTTATTTGTTTGGCATTGAGGCGTAGGATTGTTGGTGATCTTATTAGTTTTTTTAGATTGTTTTTTGCTGACCAAAATCTGTTCTTCAGCCAACACCATCACCTCTTTGATCATCTGGAGGAGGAAATGCATGATCTCCGTGTCCAGTTCCTTCTACCTGATGGCGATCTCTGTGGCTGACAACCTTACCCTGATCTCCATTGTGGTTCTTGAACTTTCATTGAAGTACCATCAGCAAGAGCCATTTTGGAGTCATGAGCCCTGGTGCAACCTTAGAGAGGTTTTTAACTATGGAGCCTACAATGCCTCGACGTGGCTGGTGGTTCTCTTCACAGTGGAACGTTACATCAGCATACAAACGTGGAAAATTAGGAGAACAATCTGCTCTCCCAGATGTGTTGTTTGGACAATAGTCATTGTTTTTATCTTTAGCCATCTTTCTGCCATTCCTTTCTATTGGTCCAACGCTTCAGTCCAAGAGAACAACCATACCCTGTGCATATATAAACCAGAGGCCCCGACTCAGTTCATTCACACACTGGTTTGGTTTCAAACGCTGCAAGCATACGTTCTCCCCTTTGTTGTCATTCTCACTCTTAATGGGCTGACCCTGCGCCTCATTTCTCTCACCAACAGGGTTCAGATCTCTGCCGATCCTTCTAATACTCACAAAATCAGACGCCTCCTTCGCCCCAGGACAAGAAAATCTGTGCTTCTTTTGGTGACTGTGTCCATGACTTTTGTGATTCTGTCCATCACTCGAGCCATAACTCAGATCATCCTCCGCACCACCAAGATGTACACTTTGGATCGTAATGACTACAACAGTGAGATAAACATAGTGGCTGACATTGGCACCATGCTGTGCCTCAGCAATGCTGCCATTAACATGTACCTGTATGTGTGCACCCAGTCCAGGTTTCGTCAGGAATTCTTAGCTTGTCTTAAACAGGTGACGTTTTACTGCAAAAACACCTGCAGAGAGTAACATCAATCCCTGAGCCTTTAGCAAAAATAACCTCAGAAATATGGGAGTTTTAATGCACTTTTCAGGGGGTTTGTTTTGAAGACACAAAGCCTTCATCTGGACAAACACTCCATAAAACACAGATTAATTTCCTTTATTATATTTTCATTTAATTCTGCACCCTCATTAAGGAAGACGGATGGCTTTTCCTCTTAAACATCCTGACACGAGACATTAATGTTTGATTTTAGACACTAAAATTCTCCTTTAATTTCCTGCTATTTGTCTTTGGCCTAAGTGCAAATACAAAAGGAGGTCTGACTTGGTAAATGTTTTGCATTTTCCAAACCTAAGTTTGAAATAATGTCCAAAATCCCAAAAGAAATCAATTAAAACCTGTTGTCAGAGTCTAATAATTCTTAAAATTAATCTCATTCGAATGTTTAATGTACTTGTTTAATATTAACAATTAAAAATGAATCTAACACACCACAACAATGCAATGCTTTTAGGCCTCGCTTTGATTTGGATGCCTTTTGTTGATCGCATCTTCATAAATTATAAATACATGTTTTCAATATATACATTTCAAGACATAAAGTAGCAGTAAAATACTTTAGAGAAAAACTGCCATCTCCTGCAGTACAGCTTTAGATCATAATTGCCTTGAAAGTAAAACATCTGTTGCTGTGATTAAAATGCAAGTGTTATCCGTTGCTAGGTCTTCTCGTCTCAACAGGGAGGACAAACGACCTTCCTCAGACCACGCTGGTCTGCCTTATCAGTGATCCTCCCATGAGAAATAGCATGTTGACTGAGTGCACCTGGTTTTGTAAGCAGCTTTTCACCTGATTCTCTACGTAGCAGTTTAGGAATGTGATGTGATGTGTGCATTGTTAATAAAAACCCTCAGAGAACGAATGTTCGCCGAGAGATCCTGTGAAAGCTTTGGTCAGTATCACCCTTGCTCCTTCACATTGTTTCTCCACTTTGCAAAGTACAACTGAATAATAATATTGCTCTAATCCTCTGTGCATTTGACTTCTTTTAATGTGACCTGGTTTTATTAAAAAATAACCCAACAACTTTAATGATCTATTTTGAATGTCTAAATTGGCTGTTTCAGTCACACAACTCTATTAGTCTCAGTGCTTAACTCAACTCTATTTTTTGTTCAACTTTAACATTTTTTTCCTGCAATAGAACAAACAAATTGAGAATATTGTTTTCACAGGGAGCCAACTTATTGCTCAGCTATAACTGTTTTACTTAAGAACAGCAAGAATTGTGTTTTAGAACGTTAGAATTGTCTGACAATGATCCATTTACATCTATAATGAAGATGTAAATGGATCATTGTCAGACAATATTCATTTCAACTTCACTGAATTAGGCACAGATTATTCAAACATTTCATTTAACATCTGGTTCATTCAACCATATGAGTATAAATGATTAATTCACTTATGAGTTGTAAAAGTTCACTTTTCATTCAGAATGTGGAGTCCAGCAGTCTGAGATAAGTTTGACAATCTTGTCTTCATGGACTGTCAAGAAGCACTGCAGAATCTTCTGGGTGTAAGAAGATTGAGTAGAAAATCCACCAAGATAGTGGAATGATGTCGGTCTGTAGGTGATGTATGTCAATATATAGGTGAAAATCGACCCTTTATGGACGTTACAGTTACAAGTCACAAATTCATATTGGTTTACAGCTGCACGTCTCGGTTGATGATTCAGAGTTCTGAACTACTAACAGGCTAGAAGATAACTTTGTTATTTAAACTCTGAGTAGACTGAATCTCTAATTGTTGCCCCTGCAGAGACATCAAAATAAAAGTGGTGTGAGCTCTTCTGTTTACTCCAGTCAGGAGCCTCGCTGCAGAGATCTGGACCAATTAAAGGCGTTCAGGGGACTTTTTGTTAAAACATTCAAATATATCTTTGGTGTGTTCTTACTGTGTTTAGTTACAAATTCCATTTTTGGTTCTTTTTAAAACACAGGAAAGTTTTTTTTTTTACCTTGCTGACGTACGTTTCGTTTGCCGACTGCAAAACCTCCTCAGAGCTGACGCTGATGGTGGCGTCACTTCCTACTCCGTTTATCCGCGGGCAGCAGAGGACGTTGTCGCCCTCTGCTGCCTGCTCTCCCCTCTCCGATGATGCAGTCCCATGCACAATCCAATGAGTAAACTCCCATTGTCTCTATTCATGGTCCCACATCCAGGTCTCCTTATCTCTATAGCTTCTTTTATCCATCTTTTGTATTTCTGTTGTTTGGTGTTTATGATCCTTGTGTTGTCCCAGTACATTATATGCTTTTCCCTTGTGCAGTGATCTGTTACGGCTGACTTCTTTATTGTGCTGCTCTTGTGTGTTTTCGACTTGTTTCTTTCTCGCACTCCTTTCTATGTTCTATTGTTCGTGTGTTGAGTTGGCGTCCGGTTTCTCCTATGTATGTTTTATCGGAGAGGGGAGAGTGGGCAGCAGAGGGCGACAACGCTGATCTTTCTGAATTGTTTCATTCTTTAAAATTATAATGTTTATTTCAGCACCATAAAAACTTATTTTCCAAATCCTAGAGTTTCACCATCTGTTTTTTATCAGAAGCTAATTCAAGATAAGAGACAGGGTTATAGGACTATTTTCATGTTCAGCCTGCATGAAAAACTCAAAGTGACCGATTATAATCATAAATAATCATCAAAAGTGTTTTTCAGTGATGCACACCTTTAAAAAGGTTGAAGAGGGATGTAGTCTTTGTTTACAATCAATGTCAGCCCATGGGGTTGACAAGTCTGCAGCAGGATTTGTAATTCAACTTTGAAATGCCAGAATTGTAGACAGTATTTTAACCGGTAAGAAGCCACAGCATCTTTTGTTTTACTCTATTACTGGGTAAAGAAGACTAGAGGCTAACGTTGTGCTAACAATGCGGTGAATTTGAAACAAATAGTTAGCTCAATAAATATCTCAAGCTACATCTTCAATTACCAACAACTCAATATTACAGTCAAATATATGTATCCACTTATCAACTTATTGTGTATGACTTGTGTTCGCTCGTCACCTAGAATCTTCTGGCACTGAGCCAATAGTAACTGCCAGCAAACTCACAAAAGGGAGCGGGAGAGTCACTTGTTTGTTTAAAAAATAGAGTGCAGTACCCAAATCTGACCACATGGTGTCATTCTTACTTCATGCATGCATTCTGAAACCCAACTTAGACAAAACAACAAACTACAAGACTTTTTCAACAACCTACAGAATTTATTAAATGATTCCTCAACAAGGTTTTTTGTTTCCACGCACTAAAGCTGCAGTGAAGACAAATAAAAACCAAGTACAGATTAATGAAAAGTTACTTCTTCTTGCCACATTTAGGAGTCTTGTCTAGTCCTTGGATGTACTTGCGAGGAATCTGATAATGATCTAAAATTGAATCAAAGAAAGACAAAATGATTTTGTGTACAATAATTTAAGTATATAATAAATTAATTTATGATATTTCTTACCGAGCAGCAAACTTCCAACCTGATGAACCTGGTTTCCTTGGATCTGGACCAGGACTCTGTCTTTGGCTCCAGGTATTGGCTGTAGCACGGTGCTGGCCTGGACTCGGTGCTGAAGAGCTGTGGCAACGATATCTGGATCCAAACCATACACTTCCAAATGCTTTATTAGAGTCACCTGCAGACAGTTAGGATACATTTACCAATAACCAACAATTATTTAAGCTGTAAAGTTAAAAGTGATCTAAGTGCAGGAATATAATTTAAAATAGTGTGTAAAACTGAACAAAAATACCAGCCGTGCATTAGAATAAGACGCCATTCTGCATGATTAGCCTAATTGTTCATCAGTTCGTATGACACTCAAAAATCCTATTATCTTGTTATGGTCTTTGAATGCAACATTTCCAAGCAGTAATAAGAAAACAACTGCTATATGTTTCCAAATCCATGGACTCGCCTTTGCTAAAAGCTAATTAACACTGGCAACATCAGGTCTTCGACGTGGATGTTTCGATTTCCATAATTAGAATTTTCGTCTTAGTCAAGACGTTTTTAAAAAGCAATTTGTTAATTATATTTGGAATCTTTGTCAACACATCAGAGCTGTACAAAAAGGTCGACGGTTGCAGAAGAGTTAAGCAGGAAGCAGGAAGCCCCACTCAGTCTGTCACTGTCCTTGGGCAGGACAGTTAACCCACACTGACTGCTGCTGGTGGTGGTGTAAGTGTACAGCAGCCTGGCCTCCTGTCAGCGTGTCCCTGGGCAGCAGTGGCTATATTATAGCTCATCACCACTACCTGCATGTGAATGTGTGTGTGCGTGGGTGAATGACTGATTGTATTGTAAAGTGCCTTGGGGGTTCTAGGACTCTAGAAGGTGCTATATCAAATACAGATGTAGCGTGATGAATTGTCCATTTCTGACCTAAAAGGCCCTGCTCTGTTTTGCTCTGCTCAAAGCAAAACTAGAAGTTTCTGACACAAACTTAATCTGCATGAGATATTGCTCAAGCTCTCATGCTCTGCTCCTAAACCGTTTCTTCCTTTCCAGCTCAAGAGAAGAATGAAGACAAAGGACTCTTTCTTGTAATAAATCAGAAGAACTCTATTTTTAATAAGCTAATCAAACAAAGTGTTAGTCCAATAATAAAATGTGAACCAATCTGTGAAAATGACAATGTTATGATCAGTAGTATTTTAATAAGAAATACAACTTTAAACTAGCTGCACTGGACATTCTCATCCACGTAATGTTAAGTCACATGACACATTTCCTTTTTCTGACCCAATCAGAATCTTCCAGATCTGACGTGAGGCGTGGTTTTGGTGGTGCTTGGTAAATCTGTCCTTTTTTGATTCAACCATAAATCAAAACATCCAAATTATAAAACTATGCCCACGTCACCTTAACTTCAGTTCAAAGCGTTCTAGAAGTTGTCGGAGTGGCCAATCCATAACTTTCCTCTTCAGCTGAAAGAACCTAACGACTAGCTGGATTAAATCTGTTGCATGTTCCACCTGCTGCAACGGTTCCTTTCAGAATAAAAGCTGAACCATCACGACCCCCTTTTTGGGTCTTGCTAGATGCTAATAAAACTGTCGTGACCTGGAAGTGTCTCAAGACTGGTCTGGTCGGCAGCCGCTGCTTTTCCACCGGCTTCGGTGCCAGAGGAGGTCAAGCTGGACCTCGACATTCCTGATCTAAAAGCTCTTGTGCTCCCGTTTCAGGAGCTAGATGTCAGCCACAGCAGATTTAAGCTTCAGACGGTAGGATTTGTGAATCCTATGCAAGGGCGTCAGTTTGTTGTCAGAATTGCTGGGGACAATAACCATACACTTGAGTGGGGTTTAAAAATTGCTGGGGACAATAAAGTAGGCTAGCACAGGGGTTGGCGGATCTGTAGCCGCAAGCGGCTCTTCCATCCATCTGATGCGGCTCTCTGTGCTTGTAAAATAATGAAAGGATATTTAAATAAAATGCTTTATATTTTACTGCATTAATTTTACATCTGTATGCCAATTCTAAATGTAAAGATTGTCTGCGTAAACCTGAACAGGTCCAACCCAGTCTTACTGTGAGACCGGGTTGACGCGTCACGCTTGTGCGTAATCATATAGGCGCTTCCTGAGCTGGAGGATGTCAGATTCTGGGCTTCTCCTCAGACTGGTTCCTGGATGCGTCGCCACATTGGAGACAGGAACAAGCACTATTCAGCCAAAGTTTCATAATCAGGTGTGGCAGTGTGAGTGTCCTGTCACAGTGTCCCGATAGATAATGCGCCCTGGCTACTTGGCCAAGGGGTTGTTCCTTTGGCTGACTGGTTAGAGCGTATGACTTTCACCCGGGAGTCATGGGATCGAATCCCGCCCGGGCCCTCGTTTATCCACCTCGCCACATATTGACGGATAAACGCAAGGATGTTGGTTGTTTTGAAAGAATTACCCCGACGCACACTGATGCGCATGGATGAGCTGACATTTTAATCGTTACGCACATCGCAGAGGTAACTTGATTCCCATCAGAACATCAGAGCTTTATACTGGACATGAGTTCAGCGCGGCTCGGAGTGCCCACAGTGGACAGTGGGCTGAAGATCTGTAGAGGGGTTCGCAGCGCAGCGCAGAACCACGGTGCATGCGATGATTTCCTCCCACTGAAGCGGTCTTGAAACCCGGTCTCTCTGAGGGATGTCACTTGGAAAAATTTTCTTTTAATGAAATTATGAAACTTTGGCTGAACAGCGCTTGTTCCCGTCTCTATGGAGACACATGACGCATCCAGTCTGAGGCAGAATAGCTCTTCAGCTCAGAGAGCACCTGTAGAGACATTTGATTATGCACAAAGTTTATGTGGAGCAGAAGAGGTCGGGCCATGGCAGGTGAAACGTTCCTAGCCTACATGAAGTGTAATGTTACTGGACACGCTGGTCTGGTTGGTTAGACCAGTGTTTGAAGTGGAACACACACACACACACACACACGCACGCACGCACGCACACACACACACACACACACACACACACACACACACACACACACCAATTAAAATAATGCTGATAGCGTGGACTAGAAGACAGGTGATGTTTACGTATTTAAATGATGATCAGGCTGCTGTAAAATGTAATCTCCATCCACATCCAGACAGAATTATCCTCTATTCTGTCTCTATTTGCTCTGCTCTTGTCTGGGCTGACGTAGCTGATGGTGCGCGCGGCGCGCCTAACTAGCGGCTGATGCACTTTTTACGCATTTGGAGAGGTGGGCTGGATGCTTTGCTTTGACTGGAAGATGGTCCACTTAACGCACGGCTGTAGACTACATATTAATGACAAATGAATGAAAATTAAACTGGGAGTTTTTACTTCATATTTTTAGAAATAAAAATGACAGGGGAACACATTTATGACGTCTTTTGAAACGAAATTTTCTAGCGCGACCTGCCTGCTTCACTAAGTCACTGCTTATTAAGGTCCGTCCAGAATTACCGTGGCCCACCCAAAAATGAAAACCTGGCGCCGCGCCAGTTATAAACCTCTGCAAATTGTTGTTCTTCACTTCATCAAACTCAGACTTTGTACAGCTAATGTCAAGATGTAAAATTATTCAGTCGAGCTCTTCCGTCCCTCCCTCTCCTGGAAACCCGACATCGGCTGTCAGAAGCGGAGGTGAAGAAGGAGATGAGGCAAAAAGAGTAAGTGCGACATAAAGAAACCAGACTGGTGTGGAGGTGAGCAAAACAGAAGGAAAAGTGTGGGTGTTGAATCCCCCACGGGTGCGACGCCCATGTGAGCGACCGGAACCGGCTGCTGTCACCTGGTTGTGAGCAGCTCTCTGCTGTCTGAGGGTAGGCCCCGCCCACAACGCTGCGGTCGCTGTGGCTCCCAGTGTTTTCTTTACTGTGGGAAATGGGTAATAATGGCTCTTTGATGGGAACAGGTTGCCGACCCCTGGTATAAGATCTGAGCTGGTAAAACAGAAATCCTCATCAGCAGGCATTTTTTAAAGTGGGGGGACACAGCTGCCAATCACAAATTTTGCCAGGGACATGTCCCCGGCGTCCCCGGTTAAAATGACGCCTATGATCCTATGCCACTAAAACACTAGCGTCAGCTCCACTGCACTCCGCATGCCCCAGCCTGGCCGCGTTTGGTCCACACAGCCTTAGGAACGGGGAATTTGATTGAGCACATGGGCGGTCTTCCTATAGGGAAGAGGGCTGAAAAGTCGTCTAGTTGGGAGTGGGAAAATCCAAGGCTGCCTAAATGAGAACACTCCCAACACGGTCCAGGTGGAGCAGAGCCGATGCTAATGTGTAAGTGCCATTACTTCCTGATATTCAGACATTTTGCCTCTGATTGGCAAACAGCAAAGTGACTCTGTTTACTTTGCAACGCCGATATTTTACCTCCACAAATAACACAGACCTGAAGGAGTTATGCTGTGTGGTGGAGTTGAGAATGCTAACTTTTAACCGCAACTAGCCGAGATGCGCTGTGCTCTCTCCTGGATGCTAAATCAACAGCTTTCCCTGTCGCAAGCCAAGATGAGTGACCCAGTGAATGCTAATTTGACAATATAGTGCACACCTCACTTTTTTTTTCTAATCACAGCGTTTCTCCATTTATTTTCCATCTGCGGCTAAAGCAGGAAACAGGGGTAGAAGACTGATCATATTTCAAAAATGGACAAGTTCAAGAGTGGTTTCTAAGTGAATTTGCCCTTTAAAATATCTGGAATATCAAAGTTACTAAAGTCAGCATGGGTTTGGTGTTTTTGAAACTCTCAAAAACACAGATAAGGAAAGACTTATTATTCACAGCTTAGACTTTATAGTGCTAGCCCCGTCATCAGAAGGTTGCAGGTTCGAGCCCCGTTCTGTCGCTGTCGTTGTGTCCTTGCCTGCTGGTGGTATTCAGAGGGACCGGTGGCACCTGTGTACAGCAGTCTCACCTGTCAGTGAGCGCCAGGGAAGCTGTGGCTACAGTGCAGCTTATTACCACAAGGATGTGAATGGGTGAATGACTGATTGTGTTGTAAAGCACCTTGGGTGGTTCCAGGACTCTAGAAGGTGTTATATCATATACAGGCCATTTACCATTTATAAAACAGCTGTAAAAGTCACCTTTTTATTGGAGCCCCGAGAAGCCACAGAGATGTCTATGGGCTCAATGTGACCCTTCTTTATTATCGGTGCCTTTCCGGGAAACACGACCTGGTAGCAATCCTGCATTCGCCCTAAAGTCCTGTGAAGAGCAACATGGCGACGGTGGTAAAGTGGAAGTACAAATATGAAGAAAGTCTGGGTTTACACCTTCTCATCATTAGGTAGCACAGATGTTACACGTTTCTTTTGGAAAAACAAATCCATGCAGATAAATGTGAAGCCATTCCCTCTACCTGCTAAAAAGGTCGTCCCATTTAAGATACTCCACCTCCTGGTATTCCGACTTCTCCAGTAAACAGTCACACAGAGCAGGATCAATCCTCACAAAGCTGATGAAATAAGGGGAAAATAACCTGGATAAACAGTTTGAAATAAACAAAGACCACGTTCTTGGTAAAAAATGTAACCTTAACTGATTCTATTGAATTTCTCTCATCAACAATTATCTGCTTGTTCCACATCAGGAGACACCTTTGTTTTTCATGCCGTGCATTAGAAACCTTGGACAGCTCTTCTGTGTCAGAGTCACATTTAATCATTTCAGTGGACTAATGACATTACACAGCTTTGGCTCAGGGTTAAATTTATTTATCAGGATATATTTTATTGCTGAACTCAGTTCCAAGAAGCCAAACATGGCGACCTCAGTTACTCTCTACTTCCGTCTGAGGGATAATTTTACCCCCAAAAAATAATGATTTATTGAAAGAACATCCAGAAATGTTCTGGCAGACATAACAACAGAAAAACTAAAGCATGACTTTTAGTAAAGTCGGCTGTAACATTATTGTTATTTGTCATTTTCAAAAAATTAGAAAGTCTGAACAGACTGTAACAATCCACTTACTTCTTGTTCTTTTCGTCCACTAAATCATTCTTCCTCACATATTCGGTGATTATATGCCTTACTTCAGCAGCATGCAGCATAACTCCTTTTCTGAGGAGGGAACAAAAGGAAACCGGTGTTAAAATGAAATCTTCCCTCAGTTAAAGCAGCTTGGCTACGATGCTTCGGAGGTGTGTTGCTGCCGAGCTCTAACGGTTGATATTTCCTGCTGAAAAGGGGAAATTACAAAGCGTGTGCTGAAGGACTGTTTTCAGAGGACTAATATTTGTGTGGCTTTTATCATGTGAATGTTGACTCAGCCATTCACAGAGGATGAGAAGTAACTGTCAGTTCAAGCAAACGCCTAATGCCTTCCTGCAGAGGTGCTGGAGCGTCTCTCCTAAGCAAACACAAGCTCCGCCCTCTCAATGGCCACCTGCTGACTGAACCGGTGCTGTATGAAGAGGTGCAATAAAGTTGGAGACGTTCAAACCTCTTGTTTGCGTCTGAAAACAGAGGCTCCACCCGAGCGGACACAGAGTACAGAGCTGTGATCTCTGGCGGGTGGTAGGGAACGTCTCCCTCTCCTCCATCCTGCACCGAAGTCGATTCAACACAGGTTTCCTCTGGAACGCTGAAGGAGCGCAGTCTGGAACACGTAATTCAAAGAGTGTTAAAAAAAGAAGGAAAAAGTGACTTTTTAAATTTAAAATGAAGAGTTTGACTCACTGTGGATTCTTCCAGTCCACCTCCACAATGCTCTCCACACCTTTGGTGAGTTCTTTCACCTGAACAACATTATGCTGCTGCTGCATAACCTGGAGAAACTTGGACAACTGTGAAAGAAAAAAAATACTTAGAAAACTACATCTGTAGTAAATTTGATTGTGAGAAACTGGTTTACCTTTTTGTAGCTGGATTTTTTAATATCGAGTTGCTTTCCGCTTGGGCTGGTGGACAAAAAAGAGGTTTTCAGCAACTATCTGACCTCCACCTCAGAAAGATCAAGACAGGAGTCTATACCAGCAGGAGAACATGTGGTTGCGTAGAAATGTACTCGTCAGCAGAGGGAGCTCTGATTTTTTCACGTTGCTTTTGAGAGCGTGGAGAAAGCACTGCAACAGCAGGGCGTCCATTTCCTCTGGAAATTCAGAAAAAGGGCATCCTTTATAGTCTAGATGTTGTAATTTTGTCTCATAAGAAGTCTTATTCTTCAGCTGAAGCGGCATCTAAAATTAGCATGCAGCCAGCAATTATTTGATTTAATTTAATTTTAATTTAAGACATCTTTTATTTTGAAGAATTTTTTTTTAAAACTTTGCAGCATTCATTAGACCAATGTGACCATTTCTGTTACCTTGTGGTGTTTTCTGGTCATCCTGGTTGTCGTCTTCCATCTTATTGCTGCTGCTTCCCTCTTTAACTTCCTCTTGCTCAGTTAAACTCAGCTCAACACCACGACTCGCTTCATCTGAAGCTGCGACACCACAATCTTCCTGCTCCTCCACACTCTCCCCAATTTCTTCTTCATGTTCGCTCTCACATTCCTCTCCGTTCACCTCTTCATCTGCTAAAGAGGGGGGGCCTGACTTGTCTCCAAAAGCCCTGAACAGAAAATACATTTTTGGCTACATGTTTGATTATTTACAGCAGAATAAAGCAACACTGGGGTGACCTACTTATCCAGTTTAGGACATATTTTTCAAATGTTGGACAAAATAACCACAAAGTTGTGTACTTACATGTTCTTATGGCTGACACTCACTCTTTACTCGTTATTTACAGAATTTTAGTCTCTTTTGAAGCTGAAAGCCACTAACCAGAGATAATCTTTGTATGTGTGAAGAACACAAACTCCTCTTCCTTTCATACCAGAACTCTGCATCTCTGATCTGGACACTGCAGCTTTGCCGACAGCAACAGGAGCTCTGCAGTCAGCCAGGAGAGAACACTTACACTTGCTTTTATTTTCAGGAAAAAGGAGAACTCTATTTGAAATTTACCTGTTGTTCACAATGGCAACAGAGCAGCAGTCTCCTTGATTCACATCTGGGAGACCACATGAAGGCACCACCACACCAGGCAACATGAGATCTTTGGAGAAACAGAACATTTTGTCTTTAATGCAGATGAACAGACTAAATCCTTTAGTAGTCTCACAGATGAAACTTACCGGCTCCTCCAATCAGCTTTTGGAGCACAGGAGGCCATGTTCTGAATGCTGGAAGGAGATCAGGAAGACGCCACAGCACATAGACTAACAGAAGAGACAACACCTATAATATTGTAGAACATTTGTCTTTTAACTGCCTCTGTGACTGATTTATTACCTGTGGGGTAAATCTGTTTTTCCAGTTCAAAGAAGAGAGGGTTTTTGTGAAGAACATAAAGTGTCACAGCTTCTCCCTTATGCCCATAAATCTTCACAATGTTGAACTCTTCTTTATTGGGAACGAGCTCAGACAGAGCATCAGCAGACAGTGACGGAAATGTAGCTAAAATGTCAGCTTTCAGCTTTCTCCTGCAAGACACAGAAGGACATATCCATCAAATGCTGTTGTCTTCGTCTGAGGAAAAAGTTGTGTTCTCATTTAAAGTTTAAATTAGCTGAGCCCCTGGCTCGATATCTCAAAATCAGGCTGTGTTCACACACACACACACACACAAATAACACACACACACACACACACACACACACACACATATAACAAATTCCCGATCTGAAGATTGATTACAGGAAAAACATTAGGATTTAAATAAAACGCCCAAAACAGCTGTTAGCTGTTGTCTGATTTATCACATGAACTAGCGGACTATCAGGGTGTCGCAGGTCTGGCTCACCTGTCCGACCCTTTGATTGCGGTGTTAGATTTGACACGAAACGGTTTGGCAAACATCTTTTATAAAAGAAACTACCGTCTCGCGAACCGATTCAGCATTTTAACCACTAAAAGTTCTGACGTTCACTAACGATGGTAAAGTATTTCAATAACCACTCATCTTCCTATAGAAACAGCGTTTTTCTACATTGTTTTTATAAAGCTATCACATATCGCTCGTTGAACCAGACGGTCCGTCGCGTACTTATTTCCGACTTGAAACTGCAGCACTACTTGGCTACGTAACATTGGTTCCGCATACCAAGGAATTCATTAGTTCCGTGTTTAAATGGCCTTTCCGGTTATGTAACGTGTGTTTGTACTTGTGGTTTAAGTAAGCGTTTTTAAAGCTCCAAGTAGAATCAAAACTGAACTGTTATATAGAAATTGTTTAAAAATGCCCAATTGGTTGACTCTATCATTCATCCTACCTGGAAACTAATTGGAATTGCTAAAGTCACAGAGTAATAAGCAAAACACCATAAATAAATAAATAAATAAATAAATAAATCAGTGAATGAATGAATGAGTGAATGAATGAATGAATGAATGAATGAATGAATGAATGAATGAATGAATAGAAGAGGAGGAATAATAAATACTAAAAAATAAGAAGAAATAAAATTCATCCATTCTTTTCTGCTTATCCGGAGTTGGCCCAGTCTTCTTCTTCTTCTTCTTCTTCTTCTTCTTCTTCTTCTTCTTCAATGGATCAGGCAGGCTAGACACCCACAAGGTGTATTGCTGCCACACAGTCCTGTGTGGCCATACAGCCCACAGTGCAGAAGAAGGTGACACACAATGCGAGGCAAGGCATGCGCAAGGATGGATAATAGCGTTGCATGTGTCCGTCCCGATGCAGACAGAGAAGTATAATTTAGGCTTAAGCAGGGAGGCCCAGACTTTCCTCTCCTGAGCCACTTGGGCCAGCTCCTCCGGGGGGAATCCCAAGGAGGAGCTGGCCAGCCGAGTGACATGGTGCTTCCAGAGTGTCCTGGGTCTTCCTTTAGGTCTTCTCCCTGTTGGATGTGGTTAGAAAACCTCACCAAAGAGGTTTCCACATGGAAACCTAACTTGATTCCCGAGCCACTTAAACTGGCTCCTCTCAAGGTGGAGGAGCAATGGGTCTTCTCCGAGCCCCTCCCGGATTACCAAGCTCACCCTATCTCTATGGGAGAGCACAGCCACCCTGTGGAGAAAACTCATTTTGGCCACTTGTGTCTATGATCTCATTCTTTTGGTCACTACCCAAAGCTCGTGACCATAAATGAGGGCACAAACGTAGATCACCTGGTAAAGCTGAGATGGAAGACAAAGCTTTCTCTTCACCACAACAGACAACACTCGCATTACTGCAGACGTAGCACCAATCCGCTTGTCGATCTTGCACTCCATCTTTTCCTCACTCATGAGACCCCGAGATACTTGAACTCTTCCACTTGAGGCAAGACCTCATGCCTGACCTGGAGAAGGCATTTAACCCTTTTTCCAACTTAAGACCGTGGTCTCGGACTTAGAGGAGCTGATTCTCATCCCAGCTGCTTCACACTCGGTTGCGAACCGATCCAGCCAAAGCTGGAGATCACCGTCTGATAAAGCCAACAGGACCACATCATTTGCAAAACACAAAGACCTGATCCTTAGGACACCAAAACGGATCCCTTCAACACCTTGGCTGCGCCTGTGTATATCCTATATCCTGAACAGAACCGGTGACAAAAGGCAGCCTTGACGGAGTCCAACTCTCACTGGAAACGAGCCCCCCCCCCTCCCCCCGGACATTACGCTCCCGTTCCCGATCTCCCCTGCTTTTCCAGTGCACCTTCAGTTCCTGTTTTAAGATAAAGATTCTTTTTTTTTTACCATAAGATCTGTGAGTGTGTGATTCTGCATGTCTTGGGTTAAACACATTCCCCAAACCATGTCAGAAACAGATGATGACTGTTATATTATTTTAATGCACAAAATTAAGTTTGACTCATTTGCTCCAGTTGTGTCTCAGCATTGGCAGAATTAGGGAACACGACTTTACCACAAACCTGATATTCCACCTGGAAACAGGATGAAAGCATGGCCTAACATCAATGCTCCGAGCTTTCTCTGCCTTTTGTCTTATGCTTGAAACAATTCACATAAAGGGCCATTGACAACATGGCCATGATGTCATGCTAAGCTCTGTATACAGAGTTAACAGATGTGTGTCCAACTCTTGACGAGGTAAGGACACAGGAAGATGTTTCCATTTAGACCTTAAATTTCCTCCATTTTAAATCCTCACACTGAATATTTAGCAGAGTTCAATTCCTGACAAAGAGCTGCTGATTGGATCCTGGCAGGCCTCTGTCTTATCCAGGTTTGGTTTTCAGACAGCTGCAAGCAGGCAGTAGCCTTTTTCACATGGCCACAAATTAATGAGACATCTAAAGCAGCTAAGGTGTTATGTTCGTATCTCAGTCAACAAGTTAAACATATTTTTGATAATCAAAGAAACCAGAACAAACAGCAGATGATCAGGCTGTCTATGGCCACGAAGAGTTTCTTTAATGGTTTTAAATTGTAGTTGTCTGGAACGATGCATAGAAAGGAAAAGTTTAGAAGCTTCAAAAAGGCATGTGGCTTTAATGTTTGTTAGGTGCACAACAGAACATCTCCTCAGGCCCATTTCCACTATGACTTCACATAAACATCCAGTGAAATATTATGACTTTAATGCATGCTGCTGTCACACACCATCGTTCTCTTGATGCTGGTTTCATTTTTAGAACATTGTTCTGGAGATTTGTGGTGTGTTTTAGATAGCACAAAAGAGAAAATATTTTATAATTAAATTGGTGTGAGACAGACACACTGATCTATTACTTTAAAGCATCAACTTATTTTTTGGAATAAACCAGTTTCCCGATATGTGGAATTGTTTATTAGACTGTATCAGATGCTGCTGCAGTAGTAACATAAGCTAAATCATTATCTGCTGTGCAGCTTTTACAAATATGTATAAATCAATTATCAACAGGAGAATGTCTAATGTTGATGGTAATTTGATGAGATCACTCGTCTGGCAAACAATACTGACAGCAGATGGATGCATGTAATATTTACCAACTGAATATAGTTTCTCTTTCTTTTTTTACTTTAATTGTTGTCTTGGATATAATCTGGTTTGCGTTTCTTGGGATATTTAATCATTCCTGATTTTCAGATTTCATAATTTTATAAGTTAAACACATATGAATTTGCTTCCGGCCAACCCCGCTGGAAATTTTGAAGAAAACATTTATTTTTGCTTCTTTCATAAATGGACACAACAGTTAGATCCCTAGTAAGTGTTCTATAAGTTTTACTGTCTTAAAATACACTTGAATATTGACATAAGGAAAGAAACAAGTGTTTTCTTGTTAGGTTCATTTAATTATGAAATGAAGAAGCTATAAGTAAATATTTTTTCTTAGTTTGATCCGCTTTGATTAAATGTAACTCAGTGTTTGTCATTTGCACTAAGGAGTCATGATGGAAATAAAGAAGTTCAGATATAAAAATTTCTTTGCAATCAACTTTTTTGAGGTCTTTAAAAGTGTCTGTGTGTGCAAACTGAACAGTCATCCATCCATTTTTGTTACCTGCTGGATGGTGGGGGGCTGGTGTCTATCTCCAGCAGTCTTTGGACAAACAGGTGGGGTTTACCCTGGACAGGTTGCCCGTCCATTGCAGGACAACAAAGAGGCACACAGGACAAACAACCATACACAGACCAATCAACCTGACAGTCATGTTTTTGGACTGTGAGAAAGCCGGATACCCAGAGAGAACTCACGTATGCACAGAGAGAACATGCAAACTTCATGCAGAGAGACCCCAGGCTGGCATGTGAACCCAGGATGGCAACAGCGTTAACCACTGCATCACTGTGCAGCCTGGAACATTAACTCTACTTTAAAATAATAAAAAAATAAAAAACTTGTACACCAATAAATTTGCCGAAAGAACAAAAACATTTCGTCCTGTTTGTTGGATGTTCCATAAAGGAACTTATGTGTATTCTTTTCTATAAACAAAAGCAGAGACAGTTTTATTCTTCAGCTTCACTTTAGTTCTTATCAGAATAATTGTCAGATTTGTATAAAAAGCCTTATTTTTTGTCAAATTTGTGCAAAACTGCTCTTTACTTCCCTTCAACATTTGACCAAAGTTTGTATTAAAACATTTCATTTTGTGGTGGATTCCAGAAATAAATTTGAGTAGAAGTTGGATTAGTGAAGTGACAAACTATTAGAGAAAACTGTTTGATTCAAACCTCACATTTGCACAGAACTGAGCACACAAAGCTTAGTAGAAACAACGATTTTTATACCACATTTGGTCAAAGGTGGAAGGAACCACTGCAGAGGGACCAGAGTTTTGCATGTGGCCCCGACTGCTGCAGGTGGCAGATCCCTGTCCTGAGGCGATGCCTGTAACATGCCTGTTTATATGACTAAAGCACCATTTTACAGCCTGCCTTTGCAGCTGATTAAAGAAGTGTTTTAACTTCATCTACAACAACTTCTGTCCATCACAACAGCACAAAAAATCTCTAACGAGGCTTAATCCTAAAATGTGCCCTGAAGATTTTAGGGATGAATGAAATAACTACGACCTGAGCAAAATATACGAGCTTATCTAAAATGCATCACTGATTAGTTTCACAATTTAATCTCAGTCTGATTTGGATAATTCAGTTGTTTCTCATCACAAAAAAATCTAATGTGAATCAAATATTTTCCTTTACATGTTGGTGATGCTGCCATGGGACGTTTTGGCAAAAAGGAATCATGAATTTCTCAAACTTGATTTAGTGTCACGTGAGAAAAACTCACCATGACTGTGAGAACTGTGATTTTTCGTCGGTTACTGGTGAGAGGGCATGAGGGTCTTTCATTTTTATATTTCAATTCAATTCAGTTTATTTATATAGTGCCAAAATCACAACACAAGTTGTCTCAAGGCACTTCACAATGTAAACATTCCCATAGAGTTCAGTTCATTAACCCACTCATTTAAAAGCTTTCTATATGAGGAACACATCATGTTGCATCAAGTCACTGACTAGTGTCAGAGTCTATTGTACGATTAATTGATTTATAGATTATCGTCCCATCTCTACTTTTGACTTACCTGGCGAGCTCAGTAAACACAAAACGAATAACGTTAATGACTACTCCCTCTGATTGCCGAACACATTTTGTGTAATTATATCAAAAT